ATTGCGGATGACAAAATTAGAGGCATACAGGACTACGCAACGCCCGAATTTGGTCAATTGGCCTCAGGAATTGGTAGGCCCGAAATGACAGCAACATCTTTTGAACCCAAGCCGGTTATGCTTCAAATGATTTTCGCAATGGGTCAGTTTGGGGGATTATCTTCGAAAGATCCACACTCTCATTTGAAATCTTTTATTGAAATCACGGATCATTTTAAGATTCCCAGAGTAACACAAGAGGCCTTATGCTTGACGCTTTTCCTTTACACATTGAAGGATAGAGTTAGAGCATGGTTAAATTCCCAACCACCAAACTCGATCCTTACTTAGAACGATTTGGCGGAAAAATTTCTAAAAAAATACTTTCCTCCGACGAGGAATGTAAAAATTAGAAATGAGATTATGACGTTTCGCCAAAAAGAGGATGAAGCGGTATCTGATGCATGAGAGAGATTCAAGGACCTTCTTCGGAAATGTCCTCACCACAGAATCCCTCATTGTATTCAATTGGAAACCTTTTATAATGGACTTTTCAGTGCCGCTAAGATTATTCTTGACGCAACGGCCGGTGGCGCTTTTACAGCTAAAACCTACAACGAGGGGTATGACATTTTGGAACGAATTTCTAATAATAATACTGAATGATCTAACCCTCGTGCTGTTGTTTCTAAATCTGCCTTGGGAATTCATGAGCTTGATGTCATTTCTTCTTTAAATGCTCAAATTGTTGTTTTAACTAATTTGGTTAAAAACAATTTAAATTTGAATGGGGAAAAAAATCAAGTCCAATCCATAATGTCTAGTTCTTCCATAACTGAACCTTGTGTTTTCTATGGCGAAAATCATTCTTATGAGTTTTGCCCCGGAAACCCCGTTTCGGTAAATTATGTTGGAAACCATACAAGAAATAGCCCATTTTCTTCTACGTACAACCCAAATTGGAGAAATCATACGAATTTTTCATGGGCCAGAAATCCGGGACTTCAACCCCCCAGGGCAACTCAAGTCCAAAACCGACCTTCGAATCCCCCGGGATTTCATCAAGGTGGTCATCACATGCAAGGTAATCATCACATGTACCAAAGCGGACAATCTTCACAATCACATGCACTTAGACAACAAAATGCATCGGAGGGTAATGGTTCACTCGAATCTTTACTCAAAGGTTTTATAAACCGAACCAATGCCACCTTGAGGAATTTTGAGGCCCAACTTGGCCAATTTGTCGCGGATCTCAAGAATAGACCTCAAGGAACTTTGCCTAGTGACACGGAAACACCTAAGGAACATGTTAAGACCGTGACTTTAAGAAGTGATAAGAACTTGGGAGACTCTAATACCGCAAAGGAAACACCTAGTGAACCGATTTGTCAAGAAAATATTTCACATTCTTTTGACACATCGAAATTTCCAGTTTTGTTTCCTACAGCTGAAGAAACTCAAATTCCAGTTTCTATTCCAGAAATAGCAGATCTACCCAGTTCCAGCACCACCCAGTCTCCACCTGACACTGCTCACAGTGGGCAGAAACTGCCCACACCCCAACAGAAAAAGACCGGTCCAACAGATTTAGATCTGAGAGATTTACCTTTTCCAAGTAGAATGAAAGCCAAAAATGTGGATGTACAGTTTAAGAAGTTCTTGGACATCTTTAAGCAACTCCACATTAACATACCTTTGGTAGAAGCTCTCGAGCAAATGCCTAGCTATGTTAAATTTTTGAAAGACATCCTCAATAAAAAGAGAAGACTAATTTGACAAAGGAATGTAGTGCCCTTCTTACTTGCAAAATTCCCCAAAAATTAAAAGACCCAGGAAGTTTCACCATCCCGTGCTCTATTGGAGGGAAAGAAGTAGGTCATGCCTTGTGTGACCTTGGGGCAAGTATAAATATCATGCCTTTGTCCATTTTTAATCATTTGAGAATTGGGGAAGTTCGACCTACTACCGTGACTTTGCAACTAGCGGATAGGTCCTTGGCATATCTGAAAGGTAAAATTGAAGACATCTTGGTTAAAGTGGACAAATTCATCTTTCCAGCCGACTTTCTAGTGTTAGATTATGAAGCCGATAGGAATGTTCCGATCATCTTAGGAAGACCCTTTCTTGCTACGGGTAGGACATTGATTGACGTACAAAAGGGTGAGTTGACCATGAGAGTGAACGATCAACAGGTGACTTTCAATGTGTTTAAGACTCTTAAGTTCAATGGGGAGATTGAGGACTGTTCGTCTATTTACTCAGTAGGTGAAGATTTAGATCTAAGTTTGATCGACTGTGTCCACAGTGGAGACACCGTGGGCATGGCAGAAGACATTTGTGAAGAAGACTTACTTGAGGATATAGCTTCCTTTGAACAGTTAGATTTTAAAGACATACCAACCCAAACCCTGTCCATTATAGAAGCACCCGATTTGGAGTTAAAACCACTGCCTTCACATCTTAAGTATGCATATCTTATGGAAGAAGAAAAATTGTCTGTGATTATTTCTTCCAACTTAAGTAGTGAACAAGAGGAAAGGTTGATAGATTTGCTGAAAGACCATAAGAAAACTTTTGGTTGAACCATAGCTGATATTAGGGGAATAAGTCCGTCCCTTTGCCAACATAAGATCATCTTGGAAGGAAATAGTGTTGGAAAGGTACAACCTCAAAGAAGGCTAAATCTAATCATGAAAGAAGTGGTTAAGAAGGAAATCTTGAAGTGGTTAGATGCGGGTATTATTTACCCCATTGCTAGTAGCGGTTGGGTAAGTTCGGTACAATGCGTGCCTAAGAAAGGTGGTACCACGGTAATCACCAACGACAAAAACGAACTTATCCCAACTAGGACCGTTACCGGGTGGAGGATTTGTATGGACTATAGGCAATTGAACTTAGCTACTAAGAAATATCACTTCCCTTTGCCTTTCATAGATCAAATGCTAGATCGGTTGGCCGAAAAGGAGTTTTATTGTTTTTTGGATGGGTAATCGGGATACAATCAAATCCATATTGCACCTGAAGATCAAGAGAAAACTACTTTCACTTGTCCCTTTGGAACTTTTGCTTTCCGACGTATGCCATTCGGTTTATGTAATGCTCCGGCCACTTTCCAACGATGTATGATGTCTATTTTTTCGGATATGATTGAGGACACTATGGAAGTTTTTATGGACGATTTTTCGGTTATTGGCACTAATTTCGAAAATTGTCTTTAAAATTTGATGAAAAGTTTGGAAAGATGTGAGACCCATGACTTGATTTTAAATTGGGAAAAATGACATTTTATGGTTCAAGAGAGAATTGTTTTAGGTCACATGGTTTCAAAGAAAAGTTTGGAAGTTGACAAAACTAAAATTGAGGTGATAATGCAATTGCCCGAACCTACTTCGGTCAAAGGCATTCGTAGCTTTTTGGGACATGCGGGTTTTTACCGACGGTTTATTAAGGATTTTTCTAAAATTGCAAAACCCTTATGTAACTTGTTGCATGTAGACCAAGCTTTTGAGTTCACCTCCGATTGTAAAAAGGCTTTTAAAACAATCAAGAATGCTCTTGTCTCGGCACCCATTATCATTACTCCAAATTGGTCCCTACCTTTTGAGGTAATGTGTGACGCAAGTGATTGGGCCATGGGTGCTGTTTTGGGACAAAAGCAAAATAAAATTTTTAGGTATTTTCTCTCATCTCTTCTCTCTCCGTCCCCCAACCTCCGACCACCATCCTCCGGCCACCGTCCTCCGGTGATACCACAGTGGTATCACAATGCATCATATATGTGATTGGGTATCACACTGTGGTCGTTTGTGCGGTCGATCAGATATGTAACACAGTGGTATCACAATGCATCTTATATGTGCTTGAGTATCATACTGTGGTATCACCGGAGGATGGTGGCCGGAGGACGAAGAACGGTGGCCGGAAGACGGGGACGGAGAGAGGAGAGGAAAGAAAATACCTAAAATGTCCTTGCATTAAAATTTTAATTAAAAATTACCAAAATTATAAATTTCCTAATTTATCTATTGATTTGTGGCTGAGATTGGATCTCACGGTTACCACAAACTAACCAGTTCTCCCTTGAATGAACCCCTATATATATATATATATATATATATATATATATATATATATAGTGTTGGGTTCACGTGAGACCAATGGTTTTTCGTGAAACCCGTAAGACCAATTTATGTTCATTGATCAACTTTATAAGCATATGATCTAATGGTCTAAAGTTACACGGTGACAATTTTGTAATTATTGAGAAGTCTTGTGACGTTTATAAATGTTCAGATCTGACGATTGTAGATCTAATCCAAGGATTAAGAATTGGTCTCACGAGTCTCACGAAAAACTATTGGTCTCACATGATCCCAATTATATATATATATATATATATATATATATATATATATATAGGTTCAAATGACAAGTCCCATAAACCTCAAGCACCGATGATCCGACAAGGTTGGAGAATTATGAAGGAGAAGAGGAAGAAATGGTTGTAGAACTTAAAGATAAAACTAGAAATAGAGTACCGAATGTTTGGTCACAAAGTGCTGAAAGAAAAAAAAAGGATCAATTGTCCTTTCCGTGTTTTATTCTCTTAGGGGCCGTTTACCAAACGCTTACCCAGGTAAATACTTGCCAAGTAACATTACCTCACCGGATGAATATAGTAAGAACCAAAAATTTTATTCGGTAAAAGCGAGACAAGGATGAAGAGTCTTACCCGGTAAGTGAAGACGACGACTCTTACCCTGGTAAACGCTTACTAGGTAAATTATTGTATACTATGTCGTTTTAGTGGACTAAAATCTTACCCGGTAAGTACATAATAGTGTTAAATTTTACCGGTAAGCATTTACTGGGTAAGTGTTTAATAAACGGCCCCTTACCTTCTTTTGTTCAACTGTCCAGCCCCTGATTGTTGTTCTTCGTAGATGGTTTCTGCTAAGTCTAAATGAAGATCAGAAGATGTTTGTTTAGAGAGAGAATATGAGAAGGTGTGGGAAAAAAGGAGAGGGATACATTTATGCAGAGAGTGATAAACATTGAACTTAAATAAAATAAAATAAAATGCTTTTTTTTCCTTTCTAATTATGCCCTTCAATCTCATTAAACTCTTATTTAAATAACCTTAACATTCACTTTTATTTACAGTATGCCCTTCTAATTTCAACTTTTAATCTAATGATTGTTAGGCTGTTCTTTATTTTTTATTTAGGTTTTCCCCGCAACCTCCCCTGGCTGTACATGGGTTCTGTTAACTGGACACATCAAAACAATTGAGAGAGTTGAGTCCAGTGTTGCAGCAACTGTATTTATTCTTTCAAGCTTAGCCTTGCATTCTGCACTTTAACTGATAGCTTCAACTTCTGCTCCTCCATATCTCTCAGAACTGCCAGTAGATTTGCACGATAAACTTCGCACCGCTCATTTGTGTTGTCCAACTCAGCACTCAATTCGCGAATTTTCTTTTCTTTCTCAGCCTGAAAGAGTAGATTCCCAAAAGATTATTAACTGGCATTTCATGTTAGAAAGGATTCTCACACATTTTTTACATGTATACTCCATTATTATTAAATGCCATTTCCATCTCTTATACTTTTTCTTAAACCAAAACATGAGCACTATCAGTTCCCTCTCTTTTCCCATGCCCATAATCTCTCCCAGGGTCCTAGGTTACAACTCATACTGCATCTCCACTTTGAGATCCAGAGTCAAACTGATTACTTTTCAACTTCAAAGTTAATTGCAAATAACTTAATTTCAAAAGTCAAACCAAACTAACCCAATTCTCTTTTGTTTCTTACTACGTGACATGGTAACAAAGTGGCTTGTATTTGTTTCCAGTCAGCCTTAATTGCAAATTGGAATACCAAAGAATGGACCAAAGTTACCATTTATCTAGTGACCCATTTGATCGTCCATAAATGAAATTTGTAGATAACTGTAACTAGTGAAAATGGATGAAATAAAATCAAGCTTTTAATTAAGAGAACAGAAAGAGATTGGTTACTCTAGATTGATATGGCGTTAGTTGACTTCCTTTATCCAGATCAGTCTCTCGAATTCCTCCATTTAATACGACACCACGAGAGCGTTGTTTCTTTGATGCAGCAACTTTCTTTGCAGCCACTTGCAGAGCATCCAATGCTGCGTTGTATATATGTATAGATTTTGCTCCTTCTTCTACAAATTTTATGGCCTCTTGTCTTAGATTGCTATAGCGTACAGTCAAAGAGTCTTGAGAATTGCTTGGTAGTTCTGGAACATATTCTTCTCTCTTGGCATCCCTTGTCCATCTCTTCAAAATATATTGAGATGGAAGCGTAAGAACATTTTTTGCTCTAAAAACTGATAAAGCATGCCGACATATAATGCCTGAAAACTCAAACATATGGCAGCTACAATTTGCTTTCATTTCAAATGGATTGAACCTAACAACGTGTGCTTTCTGCTCTTCCCCAAATTTGGCCACCCGATATGTTGCAACAGTCCCATTATCTTCAAGTTTAGTTGCTGGATTAGCAAGGGTCTCTACTAGCTCCTCTTGAAATTTTATAAATGCTCTTCGAGTATATAGATTGGCAACTTGTTTTTCCATAGGAGAAGGTGTTTTCAAAAGTGGCATAGTGTTAGTAGTCTCAAAATCTGCCTTTAGTTCCATCTCATGCCAACTTGTTACTGCATCCTCATATTGTTTAACCAGTGACTGTATTGATGTTGTTGCATTCACATAACCATCAAAGAACATGTTTAGCGGTATGGTTGTATATAATTCTCCAAAAAATGTCTCTTGCAAGTAAACAGGAACCCATTGATGACGTGCATTGTAAATTGACTGAACCCATTCATCATCAATGAGGGAGTATCTCTCAACAAGAGCTTGCCAACAAGATTCAAACTCATCTACTGTCCCTGTCTCATGAATGCACTTTCCCAACTCCTTATCAAATGTAGGATGCGTTTGAGCAAGTTTCTCTTGGGTTTCTCTAAATATGCTCCATTTACAGAAACGATGACGGGTTTGAGGCAGAACCTCTGCAACAGCCATCTGAATATGATGATCGGGTTCTGTTGTAATTGAGACTGGGTAGTTTCCAGACATTGCATGAAGCCAATTTTGGAGTAGCCAAACATATGCAGACTCAGACTCATAATGAAGCAATCCACAACCAAATAAAATGGGTTGACCATGGTGATTAAGTCCAGTGATGGAGACCAATGGTACCCTATAGTGATTAGCTCTGTATGAGGTGTCTAGTCTAACAGTATCACCAAAATAATTGTAATTCATCCTGAAAGTTGAATCAGCCCAAAAGACATTTCCATTTGATTGCTCACCATCGCATTGAATTGCATAAAAGAAACTGGGATTCTCTGCTTGCATTCGCTTTAGATAATCAAGAACACCACTTCCTAGGGTCCGGTGTCTGCTGTCTATACTCATCTCTCTATCCCTGGATGTGTGCTTGGCCTGGAATAGAGATAAAAAGGTAATCAATTACATGAATACCCTCCTAAAAGGCACAATCTTTCTCTCTCCGTGCTAGTAGAATGCATTTAAAGTGGGATATACAAAAGGAATAACATTGGTGCAAGTTCTCCATCCACGGTATTGGTAACTTTTGAAAATATTTGTTGACGAGAATGCTATGCACAACATTCAGATGACGCAGAAGAGCCTGATGAAATAGAATGCATAACGCTTTTTAGTTGCTATGAATTTGATTAGTGCAACTTTAATGTTATGAATTGATCATCTAACCCTACTTCAAATCAGAAAGCAAAAAAGCAACATTTTAACAAAACATCGAACTACGATTAGAAAACTTTCAAACGATATTATAGTACTGGTTTGCTTGTTCCAAGAACTTTTGATGATATAACAATGTGGATGCATAAAATTTTGATTATCAAGTACTTAATTGATATATTTATTTTTGAACTACTCTTACACAAATGCAACCAAAAATTTGGTTAATTGAAGTTATAGAATAATATCTCCTTTAAAACGTGAATTGGCATTTATAAAGATATTATAGAAAAAACTAAATGTTGTAAACGGGGAAAAATCCCCGATTCCCAGGTGGGGATGGGGAAGGAATCTTGTTCCCCGACAGGGATGGGGATAGGGAGTGAGGAGCAGCAGGGCTGGTCCTGAGGTTTGTGATGCTCAGGGCAGAAACCAAAAAAATGCTCCCAATATAAACCAAACTGGAACATACTATGTTTCAAGGGGTTTGGAACCTAGTCAACTTATGCATTCATCTCCGAAAAAAAGAGACAAAGATATGAGTTTAATGAATGTATAACATTCTTGTTCGGGTGAAGACCATAAATAATATGCATCACATAATATTTACCAAAAAGGTTATGAGAAATTTATGAAACAAACACCCAAAAGAGGAAAAACCAAAATGATTGTTATTTTTCTCAAAATCCATAGTAATCATCAAAAAGATCATGGGATCAAAGAAGGGAAATCGAGAAAAACATACACAAAAAGGTGAGTTTAGTGTGTACGTGTGTATCATTCTTATTAAGATAAAGAACATATATGAGTGTTGATTTCTCAAAATCCGTAGTGAATACAAAAACAGATATGGAATTCAAACAAGAAGATGTATCTGAAACTATATATCTCTCATTGTGTAACGACACCAATTTCATAAGAGTTCCCTAACATGAAATCACCCAATATCATTGAAAATGCAGCAGACACTCTTCGTTTCTACTTCTATTTTCTCTTCTATGGTGTAAGGATTTGGATCAATGAATTGATCTCCCCATTGAAAACATTAAACTTATTAAAATATAATTGTTCTCAAATTTCTTCTACGACCATACTAAGTTTGAGTGAATGATTTGAATAAACAACGATCACTTAAAACATTGGGATGGAAACAGTATGGCATCCCTATGTAGGGCCGGTCCTGAGATTTTTGGTGCCCACGGCGAAAAGTCCAAATGATGCCCAATTAAAAACATCCAAGTGTAGCTAGATACTGACCGGCTTGCTAAAATAAATCTACACTCTTAAACGATTAACCGTAAAAACACGGATGTTACATCTGATATTTATCCTCTCTCCCCACCATTTACTCACCACTTATCTCTTTAATTGTCTTCTCTTTTTGATGTATTTGTTTCACATCATGTAGTGGTAATATTGTTTATTACTGTTATAGAAAGTGAAAAACACAGAAGCAAAGATGATATGATTAATCATCTCAATATCTCATACAACTAGTCAATTTACTATGTAGGGTTTTCCTCCTTGCAGTAAATTCTAATCTATTATGTATCCTCTCTCTCCCTACTATTTGACTCGCCACTATCTCTTTAATCGTCTTTTCTTTTCTATGTTGCATAAAAATGTTGTATTTGTTTCACACTGTGTGATAGTATACTTGTTAGTACTGCTATCGAAAGTAGAAAACACAAAATCAGACAAGATTGAACATATAAGGATAAACAAATTTTACATAAATGGGGAGTAAAACTCATGTTGAGAGCAAAGAAATCCATTAAAGAATAAATTAGAGAAGTATATTAAGATTCAAAGATTGCTCAATCCTGAGTCCTAAAAGCCTGTAGGAAGGATGTGCCTCTATAGCTCTGGGAAAAGACTGAAGAGGTAAAGTATTCCAAAACCCATTCACAGATGTATAACGCAGGCAAAAACTAGACAGGTAAAATCCAACAGCCTAAGCCCTCCATTACTATTACTTATTCATGCACGAAAGTGAATAACATACATTCAAAAACCAATCCTTCCTCCAAACTTACTAAAAGCATCATGAATCTTTGACTAAAGGCATCATGAAGTGACTTTAATGGCCTTCTGATTTCAATTAGTAAAGTAAATAAGTAAACAAGTAATTAAAATATAAAATAACCCTAAGTTACTTAAGTCCCTATTCCCTTAACCAGCTAATTTTGTCCTCCTAGTAAACATCAATGGCTCATTAGTCCATCATGTGTTTTAGTCACAAGTCTGTTTGTCTAATTCTACCAGAAGTACCACCCTTCCTTAGACAACACAAGATTGATATAACAATCAACAATCTTGCCCCTGCTCCCATCCCATGGAAAAAGGACTGCCAATCATCTCCAGAACTTGGTACAGGTGATGGGCTGATGGCACATGTACAACTGATTTATTGCAACTTATAAACAGTAAAATAGCCCTAATATTAACAAATGGTTGTCATTTGTTTCTAATTCCATAGTAAGTAAATAAGTGCTAACCTCAACAGTAGAGTAAAAAATAAAATTAGAATATAAAACAAGAATTAGGTTTTGCAATCAAACAACTAACAAGAATTAGAAACTTCAAAAATAAAAATAGTAAAGTAAATAAGTAATTAAAATATAAAATAACCCTAAGTTACTTAAGTCCCTATTCCCTAACTTAACTGTAGTAGTAGTAGTCTAGTAGAGCGAGAGGAGGCAGAGTCGCAGGCGCAGAGTCGCAGAGCCAGAGAGCGACGAGAGACACAACGCAGTCACGCAGGCAGGCAGCCGGCCGGCCAGCCAGCCGCAGACGAGAGAGGGCAGCAGACCGACGGCAGTTGGAGCGATGGAGTCAATAGTCGAGAGTCTAGCAGAGAGCGAGAGCGTTTGCGATTGCGATTGACTTTGAGAGTGAGCGATAGAGCGAGGTTAGGCGAGGCGAGAGGCGAGAACTCGAGATGATGATGGACTGCCTGGAGTGGACTGGTAAGTGGTAGCGGTAACTTATTTTAGGCCCAAAATAAAACTGAACCATATATATATATACATTAGGCCTTCAAAATTTGATGTCCTTGGGCTTCATGCTGGCCTAGGCCTATGACCAGAGCCGGCCCCTATGCTTTAGTTCCAACAAGATATCAAGATGTTAGTACTCAGTTTCTTAATCCTAAAATGGTGAAAATAATTATCCTCAGGTGGATGTTGCTGATAAACAATCCTCCATAACACATCAAGATTAGCAATTTATGCCAAATATTGGTTAAAGCTTCAAATTTAATATACTCATGGTTCCATCATAGTTCTCACAACTAAAAAACCCGATGCTAACTGATGGCAATGCATTTTATGGCCTAAACACCGAGATTGCAGTACAACTCTACAAAATGATACCTTCCCCTAACTTTATGGTGATTCTCCAGCCACCAACATCGATCGGACCATCTTATTGGTTTTATTAGTTCTACTTTCTATTTTTATGAAGAGAATGAACTTCTTTATAGAAGGAAACACAAGATTATGATGGTAATAGTGGAATTCAAAATTAAAGTGAGTGGCAAGTATGAAAATAAGAACTTTTGTTCAACAAAAACAAATGGAGAGAATTTCCCTCAAGCTTTATGCTCCTACAAAAAATCCTAATGCCACAAAGTTTCTGTCAGTGCTAGGTTAAATAAAAACAAAATATCACACACTGGGGCATTTAATCGAACATTTGGTACTCAGAGAAAACCAACAGAAACCATCAAGGAAATCAGAGGCCCAGTCAAGGAAATCAACATCATTGGTTTTCATCAAACTTTTTACCTCATTAATGTCAAATGAATCAGCGCACTTGGTGTTCATGCAAAAAAAACAAACAAGAAAAAGAAGATGAAACATACCAGAAGTCTAGGGCAGGAACTGAGATTGAAGTTAGGGCATACACTGTAATTCTTTTTTCACTAAAATTGAATCAACCGGGATTAATTACAGGTTGGACCTCCATCTTTGTGTGTGTGTTTAATTAGTGCACATTTTACAAAATAATCCCTCTGTATCCGAGTAAAAAGCATATAGAATGGATCACTTTTAATTTAGTCCCTTCATTTTTCAGTTTAGTGCACCTTTTCTCCTTTTATTTCTTAAATATCCTGGAGCACCCCTTAGTTTTTAGCGTATGTACTTTTCATACCCTTCATTTTTTTTTTTACAAATTTAGATTGAGCAAACAAAAAGTTAGGAGATAAATTTAACCAAAATACAAGGTGGAAGACTAGAGTTTAATAAGAAATTCACCCAACAAAGGGGAAAAGTGAAACGTTTACAAAATAACAAATAAGACGATAATTAACAACCAATTACTCTAAACAATTTGATGCCTAGATTAAGAACGGGTGTTTCTACCATCTCTAACAAAATACGGTATTAATCAATATTGCAACGCTCAAAGCTCCAAGTGCTTTAACTACAAAAATTTCTTACGAACAACGTTCTTCTCAACCCTTCATAACCCCGCGGCTAAAAGAACTTGTTAAGCAAGCCATTTTCAAGAGGGAGTGTTAGGCTTATGCTCTCTCTCTCTCTAGATCCAAATCACATCATCCTTCACACAAACAAATGAAACGACTCTCGCACCCCTGTCTTATTACATCCCAGTGATATGTTAAAGGCAACATCTTAAGCATAAAAACACCTATTTAACAATAAGATTTTCACATGAGTCCTAAAACAATAAAATATTTCCTTACTACTAAGGAAGAACTCATTATATAGATCATAAAGATTTTTAAGGTTTTAAGGCTAACAATACTTGAAATGTACATTCCATCTAGTAGATAAACCAATTTTAAACTCATCCTCTCTCTAACATCGGAACTCCCAAGTTCACACATTTTTAACCTAAAATCTCTATTTCAAACAATCAAGTGATTATTTAGAATTATAGCATGACATAGGCATGGAACATCATTCTAATTAGTATAAGACTTCTAAAGGATTAACGTGGACTCACCTCGGAGGATTGAGGAGAAATCCCACAATCTTTAAAATAAAAGGTAGGGAAGAAAGGTCACAAACAGTAGCTACATCAGTTCCCGATCGGGTTTCCAAACTTGCGTCTGAAACAACAGTCTTGCTCCGATTTTCTGGTCAAACACAGCGGCTGTGTGAGCTGTTCGAGCCCAACCAGCAGCCCCTTCACGACCGACAGCAGCTTGGCTGCCCTTCCACGAACCAGCAGCTTGCTGCGTCCCAAAACAATAGCTTCGCTGCTTCGAATTTCTGGTCAAACAGCAGCTTGCTGCACGCTACTCGCACCCAACCAACAGCCTCGGCTACTTCTTCGCGGACCAGCAGCCTTGCTGTGTACAGACCAACAGCTTGCTGCTTCGAGGCTAGTCAAACAGCAGCTTGCTGCTTCGAGGATGGTCAAACAGCAGCTTGCTGCGCGCTGCTCGAACCCAACTAGCAGCCTCGGCTGCTTCTTCGCGGACCAGCAGCCTTGCTGAGTACAGACCAGCAGCTTGCTGCTTCGAGGCTGGTCAAACAGCAGATTGCTGCTCGCTGCTCGTAGCCAACCAGCCTAATCGCGACTACAAACCAGCAGCTACGGCTGCTTGCGATTTCCCGATTCCAGCAGTCAAACAGACTGTTCTTCCTCCCTTTTCTCAGGTACCGATCCCTCCCTTCTTCTCCCTTTTCTTTACTTTTCTTTTTCTATTGCA